GTCCCAGGCTCCCGCCGCGCCCGGGCTTCTTGGGCAGGGCCCCCCCTCGGACGCGGTCCCCCCCCAGCGTCACCAAGTCGCCCCTCCCCAGGGGGAGACCGCCGTCCGCGCCCGCTGCCCCGGAGGGGAAATGCTCCTCCCTCCTAGGGGCCTGCACAGCAGCGCCCGGTCCGGGGCGGGGCGCAGCGCTGTTTCCGCTGTGGCTCTGGGACCCTGCCCGGCAGGACCCCGGGGTGCGCTGAGCACCCCTGGCGCCGCAGGTGGGGGAGAAGCAGCTCGGGGCGATCAGCGCTCCTGCCCGAGACCCACCGACTGTGCCTCCCGGTCGCCCATACGTCCAACAAATCATCCCGGAGCACCTGCTGTGCGCCCAGCCTGCTCTGGCGGCTGGGAAGTCCCTGCTCCCCTGGCACCATTTCCCACCGGGGCACGAACCCGGCCCCGCTGCCCCGACGCTGGGCACCGGCCCGTCGCCGGGTGTGCGCTCAGCAACTGCCTGTTGGCTGGACGGGATGCCCGCGGGCACCGCTGAGGGTTACCTTTAGTTTTCCCCAGTGTCCTCTCGCAAGGCCTCCGGGTAGGGCGAATCCCCGCAGTGCCAGGAACACCCCGAGCTATCCTTTACTGAAGGCCAGCTCAGTGCCCGGCGGGGGGGGCTTCACGAGGTCACCTCTTTGTTTGTTGTTAACCTTCACCGGAGGACATTTTTTCCATTGATTTTTAGAGCTAGTGGGAGAGAGACAGACATCCGTTGCTTGCCTCCCACACTCGCAGTGGGGTCGAACCTACAACCCCCGTTACATGCCCTTGACCAGAAATCGAACCCATGGCCCGTCAGTGCGCCAGCCGACACTCTAACCACTGACCCACACCAGCCAGGCCAAAGGCTGCCTCATTAGTTTATAAAAAAATATTTTTATTGACTTCCAAGGGAAACATCAATGATGAGAGTCATTGATCGGCTGCCTTCTGCACGGCCCCTCTGGGGGGGGGGTCGAGCCCACAACCCCAGCATGTGCCCTGACTGGGAATCGGACCCTGACCTCCTGGATCCTAGGCCCACGCTCAGCCCGAGCCACGCTGGCGGGCAGGGGCCTCGTGTTTTTGTTGTTAATCCCTAAGGAAGTACCAGCAGCACCGCAGGGTGGGCCGCTGCAGCAGCAGAAATGTTTAGTTCTGGAGGTTAGAGGTCGGAGACTGAGGGGTCGGAGGCTGGGTTTCTTCCAAGGGCTGGGAGGCAGGCTCTGCCCCAGGCCTTTCCCCCGGCTGGCCTGTGACCACCTTCTCCGGTCTTCACATCGCCTCCCCCCTGCGTGAGTCCAGGTCCTAAAGGCCCTTCTTGCGAGGACAGTGGTCCTATTGGCTTAGGGCCTGCCCGGACGACCTCCTTGTACTCCCGTGGCCTCGGCAGAGGCCGTCCATGAACACGATTACATTCTGAGGCGCTGGGGTTAGGGCTTCACCATGCGAGTTTTCGGGGGGCATAATGTAGCCCGTAACCACTCCCACCGCCTAGAAATGTGTCTGACAGACAGTAAAGACTTAATACAAACGTGTGGACTGACTGGCTGTGGCTGCAGCTGGGAGAACGGCCTGAAAAGGGCGCGCCTGGAAGGACCAGTCAAGGAGCAGGGCGGCCGCTCCGGGCACGCGTGGCCTAGGACAGGGATTTGTGATGGCTCCGCGCTCCCTGAGCCAGGAGAGACTCTGGAGGACACAGTGGAAGAGACAGACCCTGCCCTCGGGCATCCCGCGCTCCGGTGGGAACAAAGGCAGGGAACCAGGCGACACACTTGGAAGCAGGGCAGGAGGGTAGGAAGGACGGGCAGGTTCAACATGTCCAGGTCCCACTTTTAAATACAGGACCTGGGACTGGAGCTGCCACACCGTGCCCAGGGAGTTCCTCTGAGGCGGCAACGCACCAGGCCTGGGCTCTGCAGCATGGCTGGTGCCCGGGACCTGGGCAGCCTCGTGTGTCTGTCACTCCCCTGCCTCAGACCCTCCGATGGCTTCCCCCTGCACCTAGAGCCATGTCTGTGTGTCTCCGCGCACGCTCAGGGTCAGGCCACGCATGCTGAACGAACAATCCCCAGCGTGGTCCTAGGCGCTGCTGGTCGTCCCATGGGGTGGAGGGTGGCAGCCCAGGGCGCTAGGCTCCAGCAGACGCTTCCTTCTCACGCCCAGGCTCCTGTCTGGTAAGGCCTGGCCCTTAGCCCTCCTTTCCCGAGGGGGTAAGCAGGCAAGCTCCCTGGTGGGGGTGGGCAGGGCACTCGCCCAGTCTCTAAAACATTGGTGCCGCTCTGTGCACGTTGACAGGGCCTGGCCCGAGCCCAGCCCGTGGGGAGGACACTGGCTTTCCCACAGGTGTGGGCAGGGGCAGGCGGCCAGCCTGGGAGTGGTGTTCAGGAGCACGGCTGATGCCAGAGCAGGTCCTACCCTGGCTTCACCAGGAGGTTGGGGAAACGGGCATTTTCCTCCAGTGCATTGCTTCCTTCTCAAGGCGGCCTCTGGAAGAGCACCCAAGACTCAAAGCCTTTCCCAGGGTGCCCCCAGGTGGTTTCTTTGGGGAATCACACCCATTCCATAGACTAAGTAATTGCTGATTCCAGCTAAATGGCTGGCAGGCTGGCGGCATCACTGCCGTTTCAGTGATAAAACTGAGACTCAGAGGTGGTCGGGTGACAGGGCCAGCTTTTGAGCCAAGGTCTTCCTGGCCCAGAGTCTGCACCTGTGTCCCATCCTGCACCCTCTCTGGGAAGTCCTGTCAGAGTTCACAGAAAGTCTCAAGGGGGAAAGGGCCTGCTGGGCTCCCCTGGTCCCGATCTTGATCTGATGCATAAATCACCTGTCACCCCCTCCCATGCAAGTTACCACTCTCTGCTTGGATACTTCCAGCAATGGGGAAATCATTACCACACAAAGAACCCACAAGGGTGTTCATCAGTACATTGTGGAAAGGAGTGGGTAGGGAGTTACGGCCACCTAGAGCAGAAGGCAGACCTCGGTTAGGGATGTGGCCTCTGTGTGGGGGAGGTGAGAGGGCACAGAGGAGCAAGGGTCAACCCCGTCAAGTGTGGCAGTGCAGAGTAGCCAGCCTGCAGGGTGCCATCTCCTGCCTCCCTGGACCTGAGGGTGCTCAAAACCTGGTCTTCCCCAGGTCCCTGGATTGGGGTGATGTGAGGCAGAGTCTAAGGCTGAAGAGCTGGCTCAGGCAGTGACACATGCAAGGCCTTGGCCTCCTGTCTGGCCAGTGGTTCCTGCACTGCCCCCTTCCAGCCCTCCCCACAGAGCTGGCTAGAGGAGCTGCAAAGACCTGAAGAGAAGGGACAGTCTGGAGCTGCCCTCTCCCTAGCTGGGTGCTGTAACTTGGACCGGAATGCGTGGGAGTGGCCAGGGTGCTGTGCTAGGCCTGCAAGGCTGTGGGCGAGTCATGGATGTGCTGAGCTGTGTTCTCAAAATTAGGGTTTCTACCCAAAACAGCAAGTCCTCTCTTCTCGGTTCCCACCTACCCTCTGACCTGGGGCCAACCTCCTTCAGGAGAGGAAATGCTCAGCAGGCCTGCCCTGCCCTGGAGGCTGGGCATGTGGGGTCTCCCCAGGCACCGATGTCTGCCACCTTCCAGGAACCACTGATGACCACCATGGAACCCTGTGCCCATGTAGGCTGGTGACCCCACCATGCTTGGATCCCTCCAGCGATGCCAAACTGGTTCCCATTACAGAGCTTCAACTGTATCGAAGTTCTTCCAGTGACCCTGAAGCCTCCCCCGGAGCTCGCCCACCTGACCAGTACAGCCCAGCCCTTCCTCGAGGGCACTGTGGAGGCATCCAAACCACCACCCACCCCATCACCCCAGCTCAGCAGCTGCCAAAGCCCTTCCTCGCATCACACTCCAGTTTGCCACGTGCCTCAGAGCATGGTCAGCAGCACAGACAGCACCAGACCATGTTGTTAGAAACCAGGTTTCACCCTGTGGAGCCCGATGCTGGGACAGGTGACCTTCGGCATGCACGGGGTGAGAACAGCGTGCCGGCAGGAAGATCCAGGGTACAGGATACTGGCACATACTCAGCAGATGGCTGCAGGGCTATAGCCCCTGCCCTTATGCTGCCTGGCTCCACCCCGGCCCCCCCAGGCAGGCAGACTCATGTCAGCCCCCAATTGATGCTTCCAGATTGGGAGCCAACTGCACAGGCCTTGGGAGCCAGGAGGAAGAGCGTGCTGGGGGCCAGATTTGACTGGCAGAGACACTGTCCGAAAGGGAAGGAGTTCCATAAACGGAGACAATCCTGACCCGATTCATGGCGGCAGCTGCTCTCGAGGGGAGAGCCTCCGAGGTTCTCACGACGTGGAGAAAGACAACCTGGACAACTGCAGACACGCGTGGCATGGGCATGCTAACAATTCACACACCAAGCCCAGCTGCTGCCTTCGAGATCCTCTATCTCCTTCAATCCGGGCACTGTGCTAGTGCTTTTCACATCCAACTCCAATCAATACTCATGATCCTGTAAAACCGCAACAAGTGTATCCGTGGATGAGGCAACTTGTGCCCAAGGTTGAGGCGAAGTAGGGGAGGCGGGATGAGAGCCTGGCCTGCACCCTCAGCCACCACTTGCTACGCTGCTTTGAGGCTCTGGAGCCCGAGTCCTCACCTTTGCTTAGGCCAGCGATGGGGTAGTGTAACCTGGCCCCTGGGTCTCTGCTCCAAGCCCATCACCTCTCTTGGGCCTCCACTGCACGGTGGTCCTGGGGCTCTGAAACGCAGAGTCCCCCAAGTGCGAGGGAGAGCTGCTTTGGTGTTAAATGATGGAACTCACCACCTCTACCCGACCACCACCCTCCTGCAGTCAAAACAGCTTTCCAACTGCTGTGCTGCCAACTTCAACTTCTCGCCTCAACTTCTCCCCATCACAGCTCTTTGTTTCTTTTCTACCAAGAAAACAGTTAAGACAATTCTGTCCATTTTGTTTTATTTGTTAAATTGCTAAAAAGTCATCAGGGGAAAACAAAAACGAAATCGACAGAGATTTAAATATCAATAAAATCAGATCCACTTTTCATTCCTACACCGTTATGTGCCTACAATGATCACCTTGGGGTCAGCCGCACGACAGAGCTGCATGGGGACATCACTCAGCACCGGCTTCCCTAGGGCACACTGGGGGTGGGGTGGGGGTGCTCTGACATAAACCCTGGTTGGTGAGAGGGGGCTGAGCAAGGAGAGAGCACAGATGGAGGTGAAGCCTCGGGGCTGTTCCATCTGACAATGACCACAGTGAGGGAGCCACGTACTGGTGACTGTGCAGAACATGCCGTCTGCAGTTCATGGGGAGGCAGCGCTCAGATCCTCCCCATGGACTTGGGTGCTGGTAAGAGACCACGGATAACACAAAGCGGAGCACAGCACCATGCCGGGACCACCACAGGACGAGGGCAGACAGACAACCGGGAGTATCACTTGTAAGGGGGAGGAGACGCCAAGCAGGACTCCAGAAAGATGAGGCGGCCGGAGGAAAGCGTCCCTCTGCTCCCCATCAGCGGGGGCGCTCTGTCCTCCAGCATCAAGATTTCTCACGTTGGCCCCTCTTCCCGTCTGTTTCTTTAAGGAGTTCCAACACAGCTCCTAGGGCAGCTCATGGTTTCAGCTCTCCATAGGGAACTTGAACACTAAAATCAAATCAGCAGAGGGCTGAGAGGAGAGTGAGCCCAGGACGGCCTTACCACTCAACTTAAGCTTGTTTCCACACCTAATTGTGCTCCCAAAATGTGGGGTGGGCGGGGCTGTGGAGCCCAAACCCAATCGTAGGATAAAGGTGAAAATAGGAGCAAAGATCCAGACCCCTCTGCTGTGCAGACTGAGGCACAGGAAGCTCTGTCCAAGAGGGTGAGAAGAGACTACAATTCCCACTTGAGGTCAGCAGGGTGGCAGGGTCAGTATGACACGGGCTCTCCAAGGCACGCTTGCAGGAACGGGAGGGGTTAAAGCTTCAAGTAGAAACAAAATGTACTTTAAATACTTAAATACTGATAAATACTTGCTTTAGATGCTCCTGAGGGTTTAAAAAATATATTTTGTCTCATTTTTCTCAGTGAATTTTAAGACAAAGTTGGCATCGTGTCAAAGCTGGAGTTGCAGTTAGATCTGATCTGACCGAGGCATCCAGGCACTGTGGACGTGGTCACCCCAGCCGAGCTGCCTGCAGTTCCACCGCATATGTGCTCCAGGGGCCGAGGAGACAACTGGGTGACCGTGCCGGGCCATCTCCCAGGTGCGTGCCCACCATGCCTGGGAGTCACCAAGACGCACACTAGGTGGAGACCAGGCAAATTTTCCTTAGTGCTGTAAACGGCCAGTCTGGTTCCGAGTGGTGCGGGTAACACTGGGACGCTAGGGAATTCCGAGGAGCCGGCCACTCTCTAAAGGAATCATCTCTGTCACCTGCCTGCTTGGGGAAAGTGGAAGGAACCAATGGGTTACCCACTCGCTCAGGGAAGCCACAGGACAATGGGGAAGATGGGGAAGTTGGGATTCTGCACTCTCAGGCTTCCAAACACTTCATATTTAAATAAGAACTGGGTTTAGAGGCACTGTCCACGCACAAATGCAATGCCATAAACAAGGTTTGGCCACGGTGACAATGCCAACACCACTGATCTTCCAGGCCAGGCTTCACTGTGAGTAAGAGTCCCACGGACCTAACAGTCTCTGCCAAACGAGGACTGGCAGCAGCCCCGGAGCGGGGAGTCGGGAAAGCTGAGGCTGCACTCTGAGCAGCTGGACGCCACATGAAGTAGGCACATGGTAGTTCCCTCATCTAGGGGAGCACACAGAGCAGCCTCTGGAACACATCTTCCCTTGTGCTGCCCCTTTCCTGGGCTTGGCATCAGGGGGCTTTCCCACCAAGACCGCACTGTCAGAGCTGGTGGCCAGGGAAAGGGCTCAGCATGATGGAACAGGAGAGAACACACGCATCAGACTGCTGAGCGCTGGCTGCACGCCAGGGCCCAGGGCCAGCTGCTGCAGCCCTGAGCTCGGGAAATGCCAACAGGAAAAAGGTGAGAGTGGGGATGGAAATGCAGTGTTAAAATTTAAATCCTTAAGACAAAATAAAAGTCCTCTTTCCATTGACCAAAAGGTTTTAGAAATCACCAAAAATCCATATTTAAGTGGTGTCCAGGCCATGGTTTCAGAGACCACTAACTTCCTGCGCCAACCAAAGAAATGCTTGAGTTGGCTGCACCTTATCTCAGAAATGACGTGAAAGTAAAAAGCCAAGACAGTCCCAGAGATGGAGCTGCTTCCAGGGCCAGGCAGAAAAACGCCATCAACACACAGCTAAACACCTTCTAGAAGGAGCTGCTCCTGCGATTCCCTCAGGACAATCCCCACGGTTCACAACTACGGATGGTGTGCCCAGTGTGCTCTGGGAGTCAAGAGACGCCCGAGAGGAAAAAGCAGTGCACTGGGTGGACGCTGCCAGGAGCTCCCAGGCCCCTAGTGACACCAGATGGAGTGCTCCAGAACATTCCAAGAGGTTTCTCTGGGCACTGGAGCTTTATAAAAGAAACAAAAAATGAGAAAGGTTTTAGGGCTTAAAAAAAAATGTGCATATGCAAACCAACAAACAAAAGCAGGAAGAAAAGGAAGAAAGGCTGCTTCTGAGGCCAGGAAGAGGAGAGCACAGGTGGCTTTTGGCAGCTTGCAGCCAAGTATGATTGTCCGGAAATCCCATGATCAGATACCAAGTGTTTTCTGAGACACGAAAGGAGCACTAAAGATCAGTGGACACCAGGGGGGCAGGTGTCGCTGCTTACATGGTTGCATGACGGCCCCAGCGCACACACAGGTGGACAAACCCCTGCTGGGTGACGGCCCCCAATCATAAGGGGCAGCATGGGGCCAGGCACAGGGCATCACTGCAGGGAGAGGGTTTCTCAGGCCCTCTGAGGTTCTGAGAGGGGAGGGCAGTTTCCTGCGGGTCACTCTTACCCAGCCAGCACCCGAAGCCCGCGAGCCTGAGGCCTCACCTGTGCACAACACAAACGCTTTCTTTCCCTAACTCCGAGAAGGCCACACGAGATCTACAGGGGCTCTTCAGCTTCTCAGGGAAGTTCTGATACCAGTCTGCTCCCTGAATCCTTGATCTAGTTACCAGCAAGTAGAAAAGGCAGCAGAGCCTCTGCTAAAACACAGCAACATTTTATCTGACCCAGGGCGGAGCTCTCTCCCTCTTTGTAAACAGAGTCGGCTATAGAATATACATTTATATATAATTTTTTTTCTTAATGGAGATCTGATCCCAGCCTGGAGCAGGTGAGGCTGGGAACTGGGGTTTTGGTTTATGGGAGCAGTCTTGTCCTTTGTTTTCCTAATTCTCAGTCCAAATGCTCGCACGCTGGAAAATCCCAATTAGAAGCCTGGAAAGGGAGAGGGTTAGAGCATTATCTCTTGGCCCGCACAAAGTACAGGGCATTTGTTTTTGGATAGTACTTCACATTCTGCTTCTTGTCCATGAGCCCGCCGAAGATGATGAGCTCACCCCTGCCCTGGACCACCGTGTGCAGGCTGGTTTCAGGAGGGCCAACCACAGAGCTGCTGCTAAATACCTTCCACTTGACCCGGCCCTTCTCCTTGGTGTCCTTAATGTCCAGCACGTACATCTGCATGGGCTTGCAGTTCATGCTCTGGTACAAGGGTTTGCCGACATTGAGGGACTGTGGAGGGTGGTGGCCCAGGCGGCGGGCAATGGGAGGTAGGGAAGGCCCGTCTCCTTGGGCGGGCCCTGGTCGGGGAACGGGCACCGTTTCCCCACTGCTCAGGCTCTGGCTCCCGGGGGAGCCTGGAGAAGACCCCAGAGGAGGACTGAGTGCTGCGGAGGCCGGGGGACCCTTGGGTGACATTGCTTTGATGGCTTCTAGGCTCCGGCGCAGGGCACCCGGAGAGACGGCCCCTGCAAGGGCGCTGGCCACGTGGGGTGGGGTATGAACACCGTTCGTCTGTTCAGGAAGGTGCCTCGTGCTTCCCCCAACTGTCCTGCTGTCCATGCCATCCACGTGACTGCTACTGGAAGCGGGTTTCAGATCCCAACTCAGATCTATTGATCCTAATCGCAGATCTTTCTGATCTGGTAGTGATCCCCGTCGAGGGGCCAAAGTAAGTCCCATTTTTAGGTCACATCCCTCCGTGGTAGATGGAGTGCTAGGAGACAAGGCCTGTACAGGGCTGTCCAACGAAGAGCCACCTACAGCCGCTGTTCCTGGAGATAAACTCCCACCGTTGAGGACGGGCGAGCCATCTCCTCTGGCTGGGGAGAGGCTTCCCTCCCTGGAACCTGAGGGGGTCTGTCTCTGAGCTCGGGGTCTCAGGGTTCCCCAGCGACCATTGACACATGGAACTTCATCTGTACTCCTCACTGGAGACTGCGAGCGGTGCTCTCGGGTTTCGGGAACCAGGGCTGGAGGGGTGGCACTGATGGGTGACGGGCGGGAGTTCAGACTGGGGCTGAGTGGAGCTCTCCCGCTGGGAGCCTGGCTGAAGACCACCACACACTGCCCCACCTGGAAGGCAAGAGACCTGTGCTCAGTTCTCCTCATTCACTCAACTGTCAAACATTTCATTGTGAGCACCTGGGACGTGTCAGGCACTTTACAGGTACCTGATACAGGGATGGAAACAATGCTGTCTGCTTATCAGGCTAGAAGGAGAGGTGGCATATGCTATTGTTAGAATTATGTCTACGAAGTGAAGACAGAGTGGAGGGAGGGATCAGGTTCTGTTTGGGGGACCCTGGAGAAAACTTTATAGACAAAGAGATGCTTACAGCTGGGACTTCAAGGGTGACTGGGGCCCACCTGGTTTCTCTTCTAGTGACTCACATGTGAGAAACCCCCAAGGAGCTAGGGTTAATGTCCACCTCCTCTGTGACATCAAGGTGTTTTTATTTCCCATACAGATGTGCTTGAAAATCTGACAGGTTAACTTGGTGGTACAGTTTAGGCACCCCCTCCTCAGGGCCGCCAGCTCCCTGCTTACCCGGCAAGCTGGATGGCACCACAGCTCTGGGGCCCCGTGATCCTCATGCTCTACCTTCAGTGGCTGCCAGGCCCAGGGACCTGGGTGCATGTGCAACAACCAGGCGTCCTTGAACAGCTGAAAGAGAGGGACCAGCAGGACTCAGGTGTAGTTCCTGCCACACACACACATACACATGCGTGCGCACAGAGCGGGCACCTCAGATGTGCTGTCTGGCCTAGAGAGCACCCGGGCTCCTCGGAGAGAAAGCTGCATCCTCGGCTCTTCGCTCACCTGTGCCTCATCCTCTCAGAGATCTCCACTGGCTGGGCACAAGGCAGTGTGAGTGACCCAGAAATTGATTTTGAGTGGTTCTGAATTTTGCCTGTGGTTTTCTGTGTGTGAGGCAGTGGGGAGTGGGGAGATGATAATACATAACTGTCTGATCCTGCAGTCTTAAAATAAATTCCATGTAAACTCTGACAGCTATCAACCTGTTTCCCTATCCCATCCCTTCTTGAAAAAATGATAGCAGCAAACCTCACGACCTAAAGAGGAAATGGGAGGGTAAGAGATGGGAGGGGAAGAACACAGATATGAATGTTCAAGAGATGAGTGTTTCTGATTAAAAGCACCCCCCCTGCCCAAAAAAAGCAGAGGAAAAAGCTGGAAAATACAAGGCCATATGCCCAAAGGAAAAGGTACTCTCTGAATGAAATGCCACAGAAACAGTCTTACAGATGGGAGGGGGAAGCTAGTTTTGACACCTTGCAGCACATGCACAGGATGACAAGGCAGCAATACTCACGGCATTGGGGCCGCCACACCCGCCGAGGATCAAGATAGTTGCATCATCTATGACAATCTGGGGACAGGAAGAAATTTAAACAAAGCTGTAAAGACACAGGCACCTGACCTGCTATGCTCCAGGTGTATATGAAAACAGCCCATCCAGCTCCCGAATGGGAGTGTTACTTCTATCACCACACCCTCCATTCTCCCATATCCCTGTGATCCCTGTGAACAAACTGATGGCCCACTGAATGGATATACTCTTTGTGGGTCACACACGAACATGAGAATACCACCCACATTAGATACAGGGCTCTCTTAAGGGATAAAACAGCAAAGTAGATGCATTGGGGAGAGGCATCATATAAAGCCACTAAAAATAAATATAACCCATTAGAAGTTGAAAAGCAAATACCAGCAAAAATAATGACAAATTCTCTTTTGGCTCATGCAGGTTGGCAGCTTCCCTGACTCCCTCCTCCCTCTCCCACCCTGACTGAAAGATGCTGCAATCTGCTAAATAGCTATTTTAATTCCTGAGCACCTGAGACTGGCCACCTCGAGGATGAGGACTGGGACCAGAGATGTTTGGCTTGGACCACGCCCACTGCTCGAGGTCAAGGACCCAGACATCATTGCTCCTGTAAGATAAGCACATAGGATGAAGGGGTTGGGAGCCACTGGGGACCACAGAGCTGATGCAAATAAAGTTATGTTGATAAAGACGCCCCACAGAGTGCCAAGCTCATAGTCAGCACTTAAACTATTGTTCTTCTGCTCCCTTCCCTGGAACCCATCTCAAGCCCTTCAAACCTTTGCTCTTCCCACCGATGCATAAAGCCTTGCTTGTCTGAGTCACGTCTGTAGTCACACACGAACACCTAAAGAGTTAACTGGTGCCCTGGCCCGGTCTTATATGTGTTCTGACTGGGGATCAAACCCACCGCCTTGGTGTATCAGGACGACATTCTAACCAACTAAGCTACCTGGCCAGGGCCAAGATAGAGTCTTTCAAAAGCAAAGACTAGAAGGAAGAAAAAAAGTTATTCTGGCTACAAAAAGTAATTTCGCCACTGCTAATGAGCGCTATGGCTTCATCAAAGACAAACTGGCATCTCTACCCCCAGGGACCAGTAGAGCAAGGACAGACTCCAGATGGCAGTCTCTGTTTTATGGCCCCCTCTGTAAGGTCATTTACTCACACACAGGAACACTGGAAGGAGAGCTCAATACCCTAACCCTGAAACCCCCTCACTCAAAGGAGAGCGCACGCTGCCAAGTAAACAGTGAAACAGGTGAGTGCTCTCGCTCAGCTTCGCCCGAGCTGGCCAGCATGGCTGGGGTGGAGAGGACAGTGGGTATGACAACAGCCTGAGGGAAGCGTGTCAGGCTTCAGTTTCCTTGCTTCTACCCACTCCCCCAGCCCATCGCATTCGGGGAGCGAACCATTTCCATCTGTTCTGCTGCTGTACCTCTCTCCTTCTCTAGAGCCCCAAAGCGCATGGACTGGGTCATAAAGGAAGGTGGCCTTCCAGAGGCACAGGTAGCAGCAGACAAGGTGGAGGTTCCATCAGAATTTGACCCCATCTAACAGAACCACATACCAAACAAGAGAGACCACACAGACCTGATTCTACAGAGCAAGTTTTTCAACTTACTGGGATGTGACCAGGCGATCAAAAATGGAGTGCTAGGGTGAGATAACGAGTTGGACCAGTCAGAACCATGCTCAGGAGTATTGCCCCCGACCAGTTCACTTTGCTGACCTGTCATTCCCAGGAGTATTTACCTTCAGGTGGACAGAGAGCAAACCAAATATACTTACATTTGCCGGGATCCTAAGGAGCCACCAAAGACAATCATCTTATCATCTACCACACAGGAGGAATGGCCGGCCATGGGAGGGGGCCCGTGGGTCGTCACAATGCAGTTCCACCTGACACAAAGACAGGAGGGGCCAGGAAGTCAGGAATCACCGGATCCACAGCACTCCTAGAGCCGGCAGCCAAAGCTGAAGGGCTCCCTGTTCTTCAACTGGCCCATTCACTCTTCTCGAAAGAGGGAGTCTCTCCCATGTTTTCTCTTTGGAATAAGGGTTCTTAACTTTAGGTTTTAAGGGGTCTTGGAAACCTCCTGAAACTATAGGGAAAATCTGTGCATATGTAAAAATTTTTCTTCTAAGAAAAGATTCCACAGCTTTCATAAAATTTGCAAAATATACAAGGAATCCATTCATTTAAAATATTTTATTCCAGACTGAAAAGAACTTATCTCTGTGGCTTACCAGTTTTTAGAGGGTGAGTAAGTGTGTATTTCATCAAAGAATCTCTCTGGTTGGTGCAGCGGGTAAGGGCTTGGCCGTGTCCAGCCACCAAACAGCACGAGCAGGTCCTTGTACACGACCAAAGTTGCTCCAGCTTTGGGGGAAGGATAGGACCCTGGGAGAAGTGAGTAAGAGCACAGTTAGGACTCAGGGTCTACGAGAAGCCACAGGTTTGTCGTCTGTAGATAACCTTTCCCTGGAGAGGGACAGAACGGGAGCCAAGTGTGCACAGCACCAGAGGGGGGGGACAAAGCGGGGCCTGCAGATTTGTGAGGAAACCGTCACCAAGGCACACGTCTTTATAATGAAAACAGGAACCTGAGTGAGAGGAAAGTTTCCTCGCAGCCTTGGTTTTGCTCACCTGAAATTAGGGATGAGAGTACTAGCTCATTAGGCTGCTCTGCTATCAAATAATACACTGAAAGCACGTAGCACAGTGCCTGGCACACTGCGGGGGCCCAGTGACTGCTGACTCTCCTGCCTATCCCTTCATAAGCTTAACAGAGAGCACACAGGAAAGAATGTGAGGGATCCAGGGAGGAGAAGGCACATACAGAGGCTAGATGTCTGACGCCACTTAAAGATAACTGCTACCAAACCCAGGTGAAAAGGAGGCAGGAAGAATGCAGTTCTCACTTGCCCGGGGGCTATGGGCCACTAGCATGAGCGGGAGCAGACTTTCGAGGCTCACCATGAAGGCATCCTTGACTCTGCAGCCTCACACCCATGGTGGCTAGTAGGCCCTCCCGGCTGGACCCCTCAGCTAGCGATGTTGACTACATTTTGAAACAACAGAAATTTGGCTCATGCTGGGAAACTTTAGGGAAAACAAATGTCCCACAGGAGCATACTTTTCAGAGCTTTTGGTCCTTGAACAACAATAGCTATTTCTTTCAATGCCCTGCTCTACAGGCCACTGTTAGTACGCTGAAGAACAGAGTAGTCTGTCTCAAAACACAGTTGTCAGTAACCACTGGAACATTATAAAGAATTTGCTGTCACTATTGTTACAGGCGCTGGACCCATTATCCAAAAGAATCACAGTAGCCTGTTAACCCACAGTGGCTGAGGTGTTCCAATTTCGGCGGGCAGCCTCCCCGCCCCCTTCAGCAAGGGCTTGGGAACGTGGTCTGAAAGCCCTACTCAGGCTGCTCCAAGGGTGAGATTCCAAGCCTGAGGTTGAACAGGTGGAGCAGGGACTGTCTTCCTGGGATGCAGCTTGAGGGTAACGTCCCATGACTCACTGAGAAGGTGCACTTCCTGGAACTGGAGCGAGTGCGCACTAGGAACACTGTGTCGTGTGGCACCAGCTTTTCTGAATTTTCTTAATAGGACAGACGCTGAAGCAATGGATCCACTTCAGAAATCCAGCTTCTCCAGAACAGGTCTCGAGTCAGTCAGTTCCTCCTCCCCTCCTCCCCAGGAACCATGGCTGGTTGCCATCTGTCCTCCTTCAGAGTCTCGTGACTTCTGGTTGAAAATGTCTGCCTTCCTAGGAGGTGGCTCCCTAGCTCCACCAGAAAACCTAGCTAAATATAATGGTCTAGTTAAAACGCTAGTGTCACCCAAAGATGATTTGTGAAACAGCAAATAAATCTTCACCTTCTTGCCCCTACCTTGGGCTCATAAGTACTGTGAAAAAGTTAGAAAAAGTAAATAAAATATAAAATATCTAACAGATATCAGCAGAGCAGTAACTTAGAAACCTTCCAAACTGGAATCTGGGTTTAGATTTGCAATACGGGGAATCCTGGCTTTTAAAACCCAGTGTATAAAGTGAAGCAGCGGACCAAGGGTCCATAAAATACCAGAAACATGGAAACAAAAAATAGTTTTAATGTAAACTGGACAACTGTATCAAACACTGTTAGTGCATATGCTTTAAACCAGCAATTCCACTTCTAGGAATTAATCTAATGAGATAGCTGGGCAAATAAAAATAAAGAATTAGATACAAGGCTGCTCATCTGCAGTGTGTAAACAGCAAGGATGACCCACATAAAACAACACTGTTTGGCAATGAAACTGCGTGGCTCTCTGTGCCCTAGAAGAACGCCCACGCTCTAAGTAAAACTGAAGCAGCAGGTGACAGGGACTAATGACGGCACTAGTCCTAGTGCTTCACACAGTCAGTTCACTCAATGCTTACAAACCCCGAGGAGGCAGGTACCCCTGCCACTCCACTGACTGGATAAACGCAGGCAGAGTGGCTGCCTTCCCCAGGCCACACACCTAGCTAGGGTCAGAGAGGGAATCCGAATCTAGGCCCCTGGAGCTCACTTAAATAATCTACTTCCCTACAGGTGTTTATTACACATAAAGTCTAGAAGGTCGATAAGCAGTTGTTCTCTGAATGATAAGACTATGGACCGGTTTCACTATCTTCTTTATAAGCTTTTCTGTATTGGCTGAACTTTGCAAAATGTGACACGTGCTCATTGTGATTGGGGAAAAACAAAGCTATTTCAGTTGTTAAAAATGAGAACTATGAATTCAATGTCACTTTCTTTTCCTGCGCTTTACCTAAACTCGCTCCATCTGATGGAGGCCTGTGAGAGGCTACAGAGAGAGGAGCTTCCCAATCCCTTACTCAAATCCCAATATCCTCAGGGTTCTGAAAACCCATTTTTTCCAAAACTCATTGACAACAAAACTTGACCTGTAATGACGAGGCTGTGGCATCTTTACTTAACCCCTGGTGTGCGCATTCCTTACTGCTGATGCAGAGATACTAGCCTGTGTGATTGCAGGGTGCTGCTCCAGATCCCACACCAGGCACTCTAAGGGCATATGCGCCACATTCCCATTCTCAAACCTGAACAATTCTGAATCCCAAAATACAGTCAGCACCAAAGAGTCAACATGAGGAACTATGGCTAAGATCCTGGGTTCTGAGCTGGCCTGCCTGGGGTCAGGTCCCAGCCCTGTCAATGAACGAGCTGTGAAACTCAGGCTAGTTTCCAGGTCTCTCCCTGCCTCCGTTTCTGTGTCTATAAGACGGGGTAATGACAGCATCCACTCCACAGAGTGGCTGTGAAGATGAAATGAGCTAAATCATGTGGTGCATTTAGAACAGTGCCTGCTACTGTTACTGCTGTTAAAGCAAATTCACAGGAAGTTCATACCAGGTCTTTAACCACAGACATCTGACAGTGCTGCCATCTACATGTGTAGTTTATGAGAACAGGACTGAACTGGGGGACACATTTACCTGCTAGTATACGGTCAGAGTATTCCTGGCAGAATAACTTATTTACTGACAACAGATGATACGAGAGGGAAGCTGTCCCAAGTCCCAGGAAGGCACATCAACAGTGACAGGGAGCCCGGTCGGTCGTGGCTCAGAGGTTGAGCGTCGACCTAGGATCCAGGCGATCGGGGTTCGATTCCTGGTCAGGGCACATGCCCGGGTTGCGGGCTAGATCAATGACTCTCTCATCACTGATGTTTCTATCTCTCTCTCTCCCTCTCCTTTCCTCTCTCTGAAATCAATAAAGATATATTTAAAACAAACAAAAAACAAAAAAAACAGTGACATGGAAACAAAACAACAGTGGTTAACATAGGGCTAGTCTGGGTTTGCTCCTTTCATACATACCATGTGTTTCCTGTAACATCTTTTAAAGTAAACTACCAATACTTTATGAGGCAAAGCAAATCAATGTTTAGTCAATTCTGGGTTCAAAGAGATTACAAATGTAGTATAAGAATACACATCTCTTACGGAGAAAAGCTATTTATAGAATTAGTGTTGGTAAAACATGACAATCAACCCAGTGGAAACACTACCTAGACCTGCACTGCCCAACACAGTCCCATCAGCCACATGGTATCAGTGGCTGTCGAGCTGGAGAACATGGAGATAGAACATGTCCATCATCACAGGAAGCTCTGCTGGACAGCACTACCTTAGGCAAAGGACTTTAACCTTACCAATGGTGCCCATGTTCACGGGGGAATGGGGAAGGTGGTAGGGGTGAGTGGGTGATTTAACTTTTAAGAGACATTACAATTACTGCTACTTATAACTATTACTACTGCTACTATACTAATGACAATGACAGTATTTATTGAGCATTTACTATATGCTAGGCATCTTTCCAAGTGCTTTGCATGTATTAACTAACTTAATCCTTCCCAAACTCCTAGTTTTATTTCCATTTTACAGATGAGAATACTGAAGCAGAGCTCATTTAAATAACTTGCTCAAGGTCACAGAGCTAGTAAGTGGGGGGCTAGGTTTCCAATCTATTTACTCTGAATTTAAAACGCATTCCCTAACCTTCATACCAGATGGCTCTTCATGCACACAGATACATTCGTTTTGAGGATTTGCCACAAACAAGTCAGGTACCTTAAAAGGTCTGAGTGTTTCAAAGCTGACAAAGCTGCTCTTTCTTAAATCTTAAATAGGTGAGCTAGAGACCTAGAGTGGGCAAAGAGGGAAGCACATTGAACAGAGGTGATTCTCAGAACCTTGGTTTCCCCACCAGGCTCTGGGTCACATTCACTCTACTACGGGAAAGGCAAGCCAGGGCTGAAACCAGGACAAACCAACCCTGAGATGATCTTAGGTGAGGGCTTTCCAAAACAAATTCTCACATATCTCAATGTTTCCAGAAATCCAAAACCTCTCCCTCTATGTATTCCAAGGAGTGGGGGGACTCCTTCATTCAGCATTCCCAAGGTCTGCTTTAGGTCACAGATAGAAGCTTTGACTTCAGTATCTTACTTAAATATCTCCACAGCTAAGCAGGGTCATATTGGAAGTTAACTGACTCATGTTCCTCCACCTCAATTTGTAAGGAGCAGAGGGACAGAGGCTCAGAACTCAACATATAACCTCAACATACAATAGCCGGTCAGTCAGAATTAAGAAGTCAAAGGTATGGTGTACCAAATTTTCTATGACTCAATTATATATGTAACATTTGCATTTCTTGTTGCAAATCAGAAACTTTTAAATTCTTATTACTTTCAGAATCAGTAGTTTGAGGTCTTCATAAAGTTGCTATTTTTATTATTTAAAAAACTATATATTTTACATTTTGAATTTGTTTAAAGCAGAGGGTCTTTAACTCCCAACTATCTTTTTTCAAAATGTTTTTATTGATT